TATGCCTTCCTACTTTACCACTTATAGACTTTTTTTAGGGAAAGGTAAGATTACCATTGCCGATGGATCCCAGACCCCCAATATTGGGTTTGGGTGGAGTTAAACTTATCAGTGACCTTTCTCTGAACTCTGTACTCCATGTTCCACAATCGTATAGAAATCTTTTATCTGTTAGTTCTCTTACAAAGTCTTATAATTGCTCCGTAACCTTCTTTCCATCTCATTGTGTCATTTAGGACCTGAGTACGAGGAAGACGATTGGTAGTGGACATGAAGCTGATGGAGTTTATCTTCTTGATCAGTTTCCAATGTTAGGGTTGATGTGTCAGTTTGAGTCTTGTCATGATGAGAAACTAAGTCAATTGAAATTGTGGAATCACCATCTTGGGCATGTGCCTTTTGGTTCCTTAAAGTTTTTGTTTCCTAGCTTGTTTGAGTCCTTGTCTAGTTCTGGTCTACAATGTAAAGTCTGGCAACTATCAAAGCAATGTAGAATCACCTATTTTGCAAGTAACAAAAGAAGTAATGTTGCTTTTCATTTAATACATATTGATGTTTGAGGACCTTATTCTATTCCATGTATGGGTGGTTATAAATATTTCATTCTCTTTGTTGATGACTATTCGCGGTATACTTGGTTGTATTTGATGAAGAGCCGAGATGAAGTTCCTTCTATTGTGAAAGGCTTCTTCAGTATGGTGGAGACACAGTTTGAGAAGAAGATCAATCAAGATTATTAGATTTGACAACGCCAAGGAGTACTTTGAGAAGCACTTACAATCCTTCCTTGAAGAAAAAGGAGTAATTCACTAGAGTTCCTGCTCTCATACTCTCCAACAAAATGGGGTATCGGAGAGGAAAAACTGACATGTGATTGAAGTTGCCAGAGGCTTGTTATTCTAGATGCATGTTCCAACTCGGTTTTGAGGGGATGTTGCTTAAACAACTGTATATCTTATTATTAACAGACTCTCACGGACCTTGAACCTCTAGTCTCCTCATCAACTTCTTTTTCCTGATAAGGATACATTCCATCTTCCTCCCAAGGTTTTTGGGTGTGTTTGCTTTGTCCATGACATGAGTCCTTCTAGGCTGAAATTTGATCCAAAGTCTATCTAGTGTGTCTGTTGGGGTATTCTTCAATCCAAAAGGGGTGTCGTTGTTATGACCCTTGTTTTGGAAAATGGTATGTGTCCAAAGATGTCACATTCTTTGAGTCTACTCCCTTCTTCTCCGTCTCTCGTCCTTCTCTTCAAGGGGAGAATGTTAGTGAAGATCAGACTCCTTTTTGTATGCTGATTCTTGCAACTGATGTTGTCAATCCTTCTTCTCTTCCTCTTCCCTGTGGTGGTACACTGGTAGTAGTCCTCCTCCTTTGCCTCCTATTCCTCGGTTTTGGCATTAGTGGTTCATTAGATGTTAAGAATGCCTAGGAATGGCAACGGGGCGGGGCAGGGACTGGGAGCCTCTCCCCATCCTCATCCCCATCTCTATCCCCGCTAACAGGGACAAGGTTATCCCCATCCCCGTCCCCATGGTGATCCCCATTCCCTGTGATTTTTTATAATGTTAACCATTTTGTTTTTGTTTTTTATTTTCTTTAAAAAATAAAAATAAAATAATTAAAATTTACAATCCTATTAGAAAAGATTCAAACATATTCAACCATATTTTTAAAAATATTAACATATAATGTATGTGTACATATATACATATATAGCGTATGCATACATATATACATATATACACATATAGCGTATGCATACATATATACATATATTAGTGGGGATCCCACAAGGCAGGGATCAGGGTCCCCGCAGGGTGGGGAGTGCTCTCCCCATCCCCGCTAGTGGGGATGAAAATTTCCCCATCCTCGTCCCCGCGGGGGGAAAATCATCCCCGCCCCATTTAGGGCAGATTCCCATGGGGATCAAGGAAATGGGGAAAATTGCAATCCCTAAGAACACCTTCCTTAATGGAGACTTTCAGGAAGAAATTTACATGGAACTTCCTCCTGGAGTGAACATCCCCGGGAGTGAAGGAAAGGTTTGCTGTTTGAAGAAATCCCTTTACGGCCTTAAACAATTCCCTAGAGCTTGGTTTGATAGATTCAGGAAAGTTGTCTTAAAAATTGGATTCTCACAATCACAAGCTGACCATACCCTGTTTATTAGGAGAGCAAATGGAAAAATAACTATGTTAATAGTGTATGTCGATGATATTGTTATCACAGGGGATGATATCTCTGGGATTGATGAACTAAAGTCTTTCCTTGCTACTGAATTCGAAATTAAGGATCTTAGAAATCTCCGGTATTTCCTAGGGATTGAGGTCGCAAGGCCAAAGAGGGGAATTTATATTTCTCAGAGGAAATATGTCTTTGATTTGCTTTAGGAGGTAAGAAAATTGGATTGTAAACCGGCTGAAACTCCAATTGATCCCAATCATAAGTTGGGAGTTGATGATGGAGATGTCCTTCCTAGCAAAGGTGTGTATCAAAGACTTGTCGGTCACCTTCTCTACTTGTGTCTGACTAGACTAGATATATTATATGCTTTAAGTGTTGTCAATCAATACATGCACAAGCCTAGATCATCTCATATGCAAGCTGTGAATAGAATACTTGCCTATTTGAAGGTATGTCCAGGAAAGGGGATGTTGTATTCTAATCCTGGGCATCTGAAAGTAGAGGCCATTTCTGATGTTGATTGGGCTGGTTCTATTGATGATAGGTGGTCTACTTCTGGCTATTGTACCTTGGTGGGTGGTAATGTTGTATCTTGGAGAAGCAATAAGCAATCAATTGTGGTTCGATCTAGTGCAGAGGCAGAGTATAGAGCTATGGCACATGGTGTCTTAGATTTGTTGTGGTTGAAGAACTTGTTGACAGAAATGGGAGTGCATATTGATACTCCAATGATATTATATTGTGACAATCAAGCTGTCATAAACATAGCCCACAATCTGTACAACATGATCGTATAAAAATAGAGGTTGATCAGCATTTCATTAGAGAAAGAGTTGCCAGTGGAGAGATTTGTCTACCATATGTGAAGTCTGAAGATTAGTTGGCTGATTGTCTTACTAAAGGCGTTCCCAAATCAAAGCTCGACAACAATTTGAACAAGCTGGGCATGATAAATATCTATGCTCAGCTTGAGGGGGAGTGTTAAGAGTGTGAGGGCATTTCTGTCCTTTTATGAATATTTGTATTTGGGCACCTATTTAAGGGCACCTTTGTAATTTTGCTTGTGAAGTAAAATGAAGTCTCTTGGTGTGAACAGTAACACACCAAGCATTCTCGACACTTCTTCTCTTTTCTTTTCAACATCTCTAAACTTTCCAACTGGCTCCTCATTATACATGGGTTGTGTTAGTGGTGTTAGTAAAGGGGTATTTCAGTCTTTGTACTTGTTGAGTGTGCTGATGTGTACTGTTATGTTAGTTCGAGTCCTCTTACTTAAAGAAGGGCACTCAAGTCTTTTTCAATAAGTCAATAATATAATAATAGGTCTGGCCGAATCAAGGGATTAACTTTTTTCCCTAATTCGAACCAGCCTTTCTCTCTTTTCTCTCTTCTCTCTTTTCTTCTTTCCTCTCCTACTTCTTGCTGTCTACTTTACTCTACAGTCAACGAACAAGACAGAATTCTATGGCAGGTCAAACTTCAACAGGTTGTTGATGTAATTTTTGATCTTTTAATCCAATACCTACTGGAAAAAAAATTAACTAGTAAAATTAGAGGAGTTGCTGTTTCCCTTTCCTGATATTTTCAGAATTTTCACATGCCCCTGCATACTTGAGTGCTGTGGCTTGTACATCACAATATTACCCCAGATAGAAAAAACAAGAAATGCAAAAATGTTCTTGAAGTATATAACTCACTCTCTCAACAAAGGTGAAGACATGTCACCTTATCAAAAGAAAATAGAGAAAACCAACTAAAGTAAAATGAACAGCCCAAGAACAATATCTCTTCATAATTGGTATCAATGTCCACAATAACCCTAAAATAAGCATCCAATGCTCTTCTGTTAATGTCTTTGAACTCTAGATGATCCAAAGCAGTTCTGCCATCATAGAGTGAGGGTGAGCCACAATTCTTCTACTGGATTGTTGCTGCAGTAAAAAATATGCCTGTTTCTTCCTTTCCGAATGCCCCAACAGACTACAAAAGGGTTGATGCTTAAACAAATTTTGTACTGCTCCCCAAATGGCAACACTAGAATTTTTTATGTGGTTGAATATGAGTAGAATTTGATCTTCTAATAGTCCAGGTGTCCTGGAAAATATGCCCAAGTGAAATCCAAAACTATACACTGGATGAATTAATTGAAATATATGATACATATTTTCAGCTTTTACTGTTTTATACATGAAGCAAAGGCATTTCATGGAATATCTTCTAGCCTTTCAGATGATCAATAGTGAAAATGTTGTTCAAGGATTGCAACCAAGTAAATGCTTCCACTGCAGCAGGGTGTAAGTGATGCAACTGTGGTAGAAGTCTTTTTTATTTACCTTAAAAAATGCAACTGTGGTAGATTTCATGTCTCATTAACTGGTCCATTGCTGTAAAGAACTAGGGTCTAGGAAGCTGCAGACAAGGTATTAGGAACTTTATGATTTATTTTTGTCTTTTGAAATTAGATTGGCAGTGTCTCTTACTGTGGTGCTGAGTGGTTTCTTGTGAGAATTCAATGAACTATACATGTTGATGTCTTTCATCTGTTTTTTATGCTAATTTTGGTGCAAATTTTTTACTTCTGCTTCTGTGTGTATGCCAGTACTGACATACTTTTTATTAGTGAATAAAAGGTTTTCTAAAATAGAAAGTGAAAGACTGTTGCATTACCTGTTTGGAGAGATAACAGTTGTTCATTTATTATCCCTTATTTCACCTGAATTTGGGAATTTTCTTATTTATTTAGTTTAAAAGGTTTCCTAATTTTATGTGTTTCCATATGAAATCTGAACTTGGATTCCTGTGCATGCTGCAGTGCCGCCCTGGGTTGGTTTGCTTATGAGCCTGAGTGGTATGATACAAACAACAAGAATTTTGCTCAGAGTGAGGCTCAATCCATTTCTGTATTTGTCCATTATCTTTTGAATGAGCGAGTGGATCAATCGGATTCATCTCTGAAAGGGCAGGGACGTGAAAATGAAGGTTCTTTGGGTGATATGGTAGGAATTAATTTTACTACCTGGAGAAAAGCTTGAGTAATGACTTAGTTGCTGAACAAGTATTTCCCATGTATAAGGATTTCAAGTATACTGCTTTTTTCCCCACTAATTCATAGGGCATAATAATTCTGTGCAGAAGGATCATTATCATCCCATATGGGGCAAAATGGAAAACTATGCTGTTGGAAGGGAAAAACGAAAGCAGTTACTGTTAATGCTTTGCCAGCATGAAACTGATCGGCTTGAAGTCTGGGCACAACCTTTGAATTCAAAGTAAACTTCATTAAGTTTCTGATTTTAGTCTTGACGCTGGTTAGATAGTGCTCCCCAGATATTCTTCATGATTTTAATACCTTGGTTATTTTCTTACTGGCTTAAGCCTTTTCCTCAACAGGGATAACTTGTCTTCTAGGCCTAAACTTAGCTCAGAGAAATGGGCTGAATATGCTAGGATTGCATTTTCTGTGGATCCTCGGATTGCTTTGTGCTTGGTTTCAAGGTTCCCAACAATTTCCTCTTTGAAAGCTGAAGTAACCCAACTAGTTCAGGTATGCTACAACTTCTTTTAAAATTTCCATTTTCATATTTCTTTCTAGAAGCTACAATGAAATGGAGACAAAATGTACATAGTGATGATGAGATTAATTGCAACCGCATTTAGTACAAAGATGTAGATGCAGAAGAAAAAAAAAAGAAAAGAAAAGAAGCAACTTGGGGAAGAAAGCCAATTTTTAGGAGGATTTCAGAAGCGGGCCAACAATTCCAACTAACCCTGAGGCAACCCCTGTTGCTGAAAAATCTTCGGAAGTACCCTTTTTGATCTCTTTTGTGAAGAGGTTCAATGCATGTTCATAATTATTCATACTGTTGGATTGGTTCTATTTTTCCAGTTTTATTGAGACATATTGGTTATCTGTTTGAGTTACATTGATGTTGAAAAGATCCCACGTTGTTAGGAGTTATATTAGGGACTTAGATTTGGAGTCCTAGTTAGTTTACAAGAAAGTTCAGTTGGCCTACTTATTAGGGCTTCTCTTAGGAGAATAAGAGAGACCTAATTTTCTGTAACATCGGTAGGAGAGTAAAAAGTGGGCTGGCCAACCACCTGTAATAATCTAAAGAAAAATATACTATTTATTTGTTTTTATTAAGGCACCTGTTTGGGTATATATCTTTCCCTTCTTTCCATCCTCTATTGAATTTTTCTCTTCTGTTCCTCTATTATTCTATTGCTCTTTTCTTAATAGAGAACCAATTTTCTATATGAGTTTCGCTACAATACCTTATCTTTCAACTTTCTCTGATTCTTTTCTGTGTGATGTTGCTGCCAGCAGCACTCTATGTTACCAACAGCTGCACTTTGTTCTGTGAAAGTTGTACCTGCAACTGTACTTTTCCACTATAAGAGCACTTTCTTTTCTTTATTTTAAACCCATTATTTTCTTAGCAGTCCTAATTAAAACCACTCCAAATTGTTTATCTGCATTAAAAAAAAATATTTTCTCCTCTTGTATTCCATTGCTGTACTTGGTGGTGATTTTCTTATTACCCAAATTTGTACTTTTTTTATGTTTTTCTTATTAATGAAAATTTCTCTTTACTGTCAAAAAAAAGTTCATTTGTGGCAATGCCCCATGTTTGTGATGTTTCTCTTTCTGCACATGAACCAGAAGCTTTATGTTGTTTCCTTCGGTCATTCCTGAGTCCTCCACCCCTGTTTTTTTTTCATGATTTCTGTTACTTTGAGCTTTGATGGTGTTTTTTTTTTTCCTTTTTTGATATTTAACAGGCATTTAATTAAGAAGTATAATTTAATGTACACTTTACAATCTGTATTTAGAGAGGCTTTGATGCTTTTTTTTTCATGCAGTTGCACATATTAGATATTCGCTGCATACCTGAAGCATTGCCATTTTTTGTCACTCCAAAGGCCGTTGAGGAGAATTCAGTGATTTTACAACAATTGCCACACTGGGCTGCTTGTTCAATTACACAGGCTCTTGAGTTCCTCACTCCTTCATACAAGGGTCATCCACGCGTCATGGCTTATGTTCTTAGAGTTTTGGAGTCCTATCCTCCTGAACGTGTGACTTTTTTCATGCCACAGTTGGTGCAGGCTCTGCGATATGATGAAGGGGTATGTCATCACATGATGTTCATTATGCTATTGTCATGATCATTTCCTATATGCATAGCCTGTTTGTTGCAGTTACCAATTCCTTAGTCATGTCCTATTATGTATTTTCATTCTTTTGATGATTTTATTGCTAATGCAGAAGTTGGTAGAAGGATATTTGTTTCGAGCAGCTCAAAGAAGTGATATATTTGCTCATATTTTGATCTGGCATCTTCAGGTGTTGTGTCTTATATTTTATTCTCTAAACCTAGCAAGGCTCTACTTTGGTGTCAACACTAGAAGATATACTGGAACACTTTAATAATCGATATGTGCTTTAAATGTTTGATCTTGAATTGACTTTGAAGTTATGGTTTATACAATTGGCAGGGAGAAACATGTGCTCCAGAATCAGGGAAAGATGCAAGTGCTGGGAAGGTGTGTATATGTGTTTATATTTTTCAAAATCAAGCATAATGAAATCATTTTGAGATAATGAAGACCTATATTAACTTATAGACATTTCACTGTCGTAATGATTCCATTTGGTAATTTTTGTTCTAGCCATTGAGTTTGCTGGTGTGCCTACCCATTGAACTCTGATTGTCATATTCCTTCATTTAACCTTTTTGAGAAGATCTCTAAAACCCCAAATCACAGTGTCCGGATCCTTCAGTCAACCCACTATCACCTGGGAATCCCCTTCAATAATCAGATGCTCTATGCCTAGCTGGTTTGCAAGCTGGATTCTTTGTACAGCAGCAAGTAATTTGGCCCTTAAAGAGTCTCCCACACCCGCAGGATCTGAGTACAAAGATATAATGCTACTATCTTTGTTTCTCGGCACTCTTATGCCTGAAGGCCCTGGATTTCCTCGGCTACTTCCATCAAAGTTCAGCTTGATAAACTCCTCCCCTGGTGGCATCCATTCAACCCCATGTCTTTCCTTCTTGGTAGAAGTATTAGCCACTGCTAACCAGCTTTTCCATAGGTCATCAAAAGAGTATGCATTAAAGAGCTTTAGAGTTTTCAGCCACTGAATTGCCCTTGTCAGAATACATTCTTTAACTTCCGAGAAGCTCCTTTCTTTTTCACAAAAGATTCTGGTGTCCCTTTCTTCCCAAAATGTCCACAACAAAGCTTCTCTTATGCACTTCCACATAGTTCCCCCTCTCTGTGTGTGCCATTCAAAGATAAACAGACTAAACAGCAAGCTAGTATCAGATGGAAGGTTCCACCTACACTCAAACAACATAAAACTCCAATTCCATAAAGTTGTAGCAAAGGAGCAAGAGATCAATAAGTGGGGACAGTCATTTTTAGATTTACAAAGAACACACCAATTAGGGGATAAGCACCAATTTGGTCTCCTCTTTTGCAGGTTTTCAAAGGTATTAATCTTACCATAATAAATTTCCTAACAAAAAACAACAATATTTGGGGGAATGGGCCTAGTCCAGAATTCTTTAACTGGGAAGTTCTGGGGTGCAGAAGTGGAGCAAAGGGATTTGACGAAAGAGGAGCAAGTGAAAAAGCCTTTCAGGTTAGGGGTCCAAATTCTTGTGTCAGGTTTGAAGGGATCTAAACAAATTGACTCAAGTGAAGACAACAGTTCTGAAACACAAGCACTTTCATCATCACATAACCCTCTACGGAAACCAAAATCCCAGTTTAGGGCCACAGAAGAAGCTAAGGAGGAAATAAAACTGGAAACTGGCTTTTCCTTATAAAGGGAAAGAGAGTAAAGAGAGGGAAAAAAGGTCTTTAAGAGGTTGGTTGCCTATCCAAACTAAACAAGAATAACTTAATAACAAGGTTTCTTATTTCCAAATTCAGCATAAATTTTATATGGAATGAAGTGCTACATGTCTAGATCCCAGGAAAAGTGAAGATGGTGCAAACACTTTACAGGAAAAAAAAGAGAAAAAAGAGGGCATTCAGAAGAACCAATGGAGGAGTCACAATCAATAAAATTTTGTTCTCTGATGAAAAAAAAGGCACTTAGGAACTCATAAAAATATCAGAACATAAAGATCAAAGTCTTCTGACTACATCTGGTGCTGAAAAGCAAAAAATATTTCAAGGATTTGGGTTGTTCAGTCTTGATTTGACCTTTTGAGTTACCTAATCCTATCATTATGGGTTAACCCTAGATCTTGCAACTTTTGGAGCCCAATTTTGGATAGGTTTTCAAAAAATACTTGCCACTTGTAAGGGAAATTACATTTATCTAAGAAGTGGAATCACTTAAATCAATCCCACTGTTCTAGCCTCCTATATTTCTCCATGGTCTCTTAAGGCCTCAGTTTAAGTGTTGGACGGGATTATGAGGAACATGTTATGTAGATCAGGGGAAAGGATTAATGAGCTTATCTTACTTATCAAAAAACATGTCATTGCAAATCTGAGTATTTAAAAAAGGATCACTTGTTGAATTGGGACATGTGCACAAAGAAAGAGGAAGGTGGCCAGGTATAGCTAGATGACTCTTAAAACACCTAATTGCTAGGCAAATGGTTGTGGAGGTTTCCTTATGAATTCAGACAAGCTGTTTCATTTCGTAATTAAGAGCATCCATGGCATGAGGTTTAGCGGCTGAGACACTAATTTGGATGCAAGAGTGACACTATTCTCTCTTTGGAAGTTTATCTGAGAAAATTTACTCTTTATGCCACTCATCAGTCTCAGCATTGGGCTGTCTCTACTGTAAATAAGTACTGATTAGACCTGTTCTTGGGCCGGGCCGGGCTGGGCTCGGGCCGGGCTTTTGCTGTATATTAACAAATTTTTTTAAGGCCCGAGCCCGAGCCCAGCCCGACCATCGGGCCTACAACTTGGGCCCGAGCCCGGCCCTCATAAAAAGCCCGAAGCCCGAGCTTGGGCCCGGGCCCGAAATTTAGCCTATACTATTATTATTATTAATGTTGAAGCAGCTGAATAGAGAGAGAGAGAGATTGAAATTATAAAGAAAAGAATAAAATATATATATATATTAAATTATAAATATATATTTTAATAAATATTATATTATTTATATATTTTATATAATATATAAAATACATATTATATATTTTATAAAATATATAATATTGAGTCGGGCCGGGCTGGGCTCGGGCTGGGCTTTTTTGACAAATTCCGAGCCCGGCCCGAAACACAGTCGGGCTTACTGTGTTAAGCCCGAGGTCAGGCCCGCGGGCCTAATTATATGACCAAGCCCGGCCGAGGTGCGGGCCGGGCCGGACCGGGCCGTCGGGCTACCCGGCCCATGAACAGGTCTAGTACTGATTATATGCTTTTTTTTGTGAAGATACTGATTATATGCTTGTATATAATTAATTTACTATATATATTTCAATAGAACATAATTGATTATTGATAAAAAAATATGTCCTAGAGGTCTGCAACCACATTGTATGGTACATAAAAAATGGACAAGAAACTCTACTTGTCTTCAATTTGACATATGATGTTCTATATTCTTACCTGCCATTTCTGGAGATATTAGCTTGTTTTCTTTTCTATGATTTTAACATTTATGATAGTTGTTGAAATGCTGTGTTTTTGTATGTTTAGTACCGCAGGGGTACTTTAGTCCTTTCAGCATGTTTTATTTTAAATTGTGTCGCCTTAGTATAAATAGCAACAAAGTTGGCACCACCAGCAGCTTTTCTGGGACTCCAAACTTTTGTCTCTCTTCTCTCTTTCTCTCTCTTCCTTCTTCTCTGGATAACATGGTATCAGAGCCACTTTAACCAAGTGGTCTAGTGTTCGATTCTCATCACCCCCATTATAATTAATTAAGTTTCAGCACAAGGTATGGGTGGGCCTGTGCTGTCCACGATTCAAGCCCAATGGGCTCTCGTGTGAGGGGGCATGTTAGAGATTAAAATCTATTCAAGGACCTCACTTAACAGCTTAAGCTTTTAGGTTAAATGGTTCTTCCTGAGGGGAAGGAACCGGTTGGGTGTAAATGGGTTTTCACAGTAAAACATAAGGCTGATGGCACAGTGGAGCGGTATAAAGCTCGTCTAGTGGCAAAGGGGTTTACACAAGTGTATGGAGTGGATTATGCAGAAAATTTTGCACCCGTTGCTAAGATGAACTCCATTAGAGTTTTTTTCTCCTTAGCTGCTAATGTTGACTAGGAACTTCATCAACTTGACATCAAGAATGCATTCTTGAATGGTGACATTGAAGAGGAAGTATACATGGTGCAACCTCCTGGTTTTCGAGCTCAAGGTAAGGAACAGAAAGTGTGCAGGTTAAAAAAATCATTATATTGCCTGAAACAATCACTGAGAGCCTGATTCAGTAGATTCCATGTAGCAGTTCAGCAAAAAGGATACAAGCAGTGTCAATCTGATCACACACTGTTTGTGAAAAGAGGGGAAGGAAAGATTGCAGCACTGATAGTATATGTTGATGATATAGTTATCACTGGTGATTGGAATGATGAAATTCAAAAGTTGAAGAGTTTTCTTGCTACCCGGTTTGAAGTGAAGGATCTAGGTCCTCTAAGGTACTTCCTTGGGATTGAAGTGGCCTGCTCAAAAAAGGGTATCTTCATTTCCCAAAGAAAGTATGTCCTAAATCTACTCCAGGATACAGGAAAATTAGGAGTGAAGCCCGTTGATTCTCCTATTGATCATAACCACAAGTTAGAAGACTATCAAGGTGAACCCGTCGAAGACGTGAAACAGTTTCAGAGACTTGTAGGAATATTGCTATATCTTTCTATGACTCGACCAGACATTGCTTATGGAGTGGAAGTTCTTAGCTAGTTCATGTATGCCCCTAAGACTACCCACCTTGAAGCTGCAAAAAGAGTTCTCAGATATCTTAAGAAGTTCCCAGGTGCAGGCTTGTTGTTTCAAAAGCACAGGCATTTGAAAGTTGAAGTGTATACCGATGCTGATTGGGCTGGATCCTTGAATGACCGGAAGTCAACAAGTGGCTATTGTACCTTTATAGGAGGGAACCTAGTTACCTGGAGAAGCAAAAAGCAAAATGTGGTAGCTAGGTCTAGTGCTGAAGCCGAATATCGGGCAATGTCTCATGGAGTGGCACAAATCATGTGGTTAAAGAATTTGTTGAGTGAGTTGGGCTTTCCAGTTGATGGAGACTCTTTACTGTGATAACAAAGCAGCCATAAACATCGCTGCTAATCATGTGCTGCATGATAGAACTAAGCATATCGAAGTTGACAAACATTTCATCAGAGAAAAGGTTGTCACAGGCGAAGTGTGTACTCCCTATGCCAGTTCTGAAGACCAACTTGCAAACATCTTCACAAAGGGGTTACATCACTTGCGGCATTATGATTTATGTGACAAGTTGGGCATGATTGATATCTATGTCCCAACTTGAGGGGGAGTGTTGAAATGCTGTGTTTTTGTATGTTTAGTACCGCAGGGGTACTTTAGTCCTTTCAGAATGTTTTATTTTAAGTTGTGTCGCCCTAGTATAAATAACAACAAAGCTGGCGCTGCCAGCAGCTTTTCTGAGACTTCAAACTTTTGTCTCTCTTCTCTCTTCTCTCTTCTCTCTCTCTCTCTTCCTTCTCCTCTGGATAACAGTAGCCTATTAGAAATACTTCATATATAAAACAATGTTGTTCATGTCTGTAGTAGTTGATACAATTCTATGGTATCTCATTGCAGAATCATTATTGTTATATAAAAGTCAAACATTTCTTCTACATTATTGGTACTTTATGAATCACACATGCTACTTCCCAAGGTTCACAAATAGGGCTTCCAATAGGTCAGATCAGGGATGGGTTGGTTGTAAGTTCGAACCCAATAAGAAAACAAACAAATATGGTCCCGATCTCGACCCTACAGGATCTGTAAGTACTAGATCCAGAACCAATTCTATCATTAATTGGGCTTATTGGATTTGAATCATTTGATCCAATATGTCTGAATTATACTTAACAAGTCTTTAGCTTGGTATTTGACAGTAAAACTACTAATTCTGTTGTTCTTTTCAAAATATTGTACACATCCCCTTAAAATAATAATTTTAGACATCTTATATGACATTATTACAGGTAAACCATGAAAAACATGTATGAAATGTTGGGGATATCTTCTTGATGTGCTAATGTTGGTTCAGATCTTCATTAGGCCAGAATAAGTAAAGCCAATCTTGACCTTATTATAGTCAGAGATCAAGATGCATTTCCAGAATCAGCCCTATTAATAATTGGGACTCAGTGCAGACCCAGTTTCTGTATAATAGGGTGGGTTTGGGTTGAGTCTATCAGGTTAACCTGGATTATTGACAGTGCTATTCACAGAACCCGCTAGGTTCTTTCATACTCAACCTTTAATGCAACGTAGTTCTGTAAATGCGTACACATGAAATCAGCTGTATGGGGAAACAAATAATGATAAAGTGGTCTTGTTCTCTTTATTTTCATTGAAAATTTGCTTAGGTTTTTAGGTATATTGCTCTTTTGATTCTGCTCTCATCTTTTATACAATTCACTCTAGATGTCAAAGACCTAGCCTTTCTGATGAAATGATGCATAGTCCATGTAAGTGGTGGCAGCCTCAGAATCTCCCTCCACATTAAAAAGGACATTACCCAATGTTAGTCCCAGCTATCTGGTGTCCTGGGAGGGATCAGGGATGCATTGGATAGTAACCTAACCTTTTTTTTTTCTTCAGAAAGTGTCTGCTCTCAGACTAAAATCTGCATTCTCATGCTCATCTCCTGAGAATCTCTGTCCACATTGATCCAGTCAAAACCCAAGGTAGTTGATTATAGTTGGGATGATGGCAATGTCTCCACCAGATTCCCTAGGGGAACTGCCAGGATTGGAAAAATCCTTTGCTTCAGTGCTTACTTTTTCTTCAATCTCAACTGTATGTCCTCCAAAGTCCAGTCATTGAGGTCCTTTGAGAACCCCCATTCTCAAATGGGGGTCCCCATGATTCTGTTTTTGGAAAAGGAGATAGATGTGCCTTGTGAACCTCTCAAGTTATTACATGTGGGTAAATGTGTTTATGGAAGAACGGGGTTGTTGGAAATCAAGGACTTAAATAGTAGGTATAGAAGGAAAGAAATAGAAGGATAGAAAACAGCTATCTAACCTTACAATTTATCATCTTGAGAATGGACAAATGGTGCATTGATGTTAGATACCATCTGGTCTTTGGAAGAAGGTGCTCTAGAGTTGAAAGAAATTTTGTACAGAGCTTATAGATCTCAGTGATGACTGATGAGTACTAAAGACACCTATAGCTGGATTGGTACATTGGGGTATCCCTGTAGCCAGGTCAGCAAATGGCTTGGCTGACACTTTGGCCAAGAAAGGGGTAAACAGGGTGCAGCTTTTCTGGGTGAGATAAGCTTATCTTCCTGTGGGTTGCTTTATGTGTACATTATCTCTGTTTATATTAATAAAATGTGTTATCTATTATCTATCAATAAATAAATAAACTCATTGCCTTTGTGTAAAACGTCCATACGTATTTATAGACTCTAAACTCAATAATCCTAGGTGTCAAACTATTAGACTCATAATAGTCTTAGGAGTCAAACTGTTAGACTCAATAATCCTAGTAGAACTCAAACTAAGTTGTCATATCCTATTTTAATTCAAAGAAGACTCAATAACTCTAGTCCTACTTATGCAATGACTCTGAAATTTTAAACATAAACAAACTATAACTAGACAAATTAAACCCTATCATTGGACCCCACAGAAAATTGAAAAATGATAAAAATACCCCTATTGTCCAAAAAATACAGAAATACATAAAATTTCATAAAATTCCAATTTTGCCTCTTCAGCTCCTGCATCATTATTACAGATCCTTGATAAGTTGATAGTGTGTGTTTGGACCCCTCTTCCAAATAAACACATTTGGATTCCCCATCCCAAACGTTTGTCTTCTTGTGCTTCTTTGTTTAAGTCTCTTTGTGCCTCTACTCCTGTTGCTTTTCCTTTCAATGAGATCTGGTGTTGACCCATTCCTCCTAGACTAGGGGATTTTTGTTGGGAAGTGTTTCATAGGAAGATCAACACTATGGATATGCTACAAAAAATGAACCTCCCTGTATCCCCTAACTGGTTTACTTTGTGTAAATCCAATAGTGAGAGTTGTTACCACTTTCTAATCTCCTGTCCTTTTGTTGTTGATATTTGGAACTGTTTTTTCTCTGTCTGGATGCAGTTGGTATCAACCAACGGAGGTAAATATGCTATTTGATCCTTCCACTTTTGCTTGGCATAAGGAAAGGGAAGAATTATGTGAAGGTGTGTAAGGGCAGCTTTGATTTGGACTATTTGGAAAGAAAGAAATGCAAGGATTTTCATAGAAAAAGAGAGGAGCAAAGAAATGGTGAGAGATTGTGTTGTGGCCAGGGTAATACACTAGATCAGAACCTTGGATTTGTTCTCCCAGTTCTCCTTTGATGGTATTTGGACTTTGGAGAAATTGTGGGGTGGTGTCTAGAAGCTCTTCCAACAAAGAAAAAGAGAATGTGGTTTGACAGCCTCTTCCTGAAGGTTTTGTGGAGTTAAACTTTGATCGAAGTAGTCAAGGTAACTGAAGTCCCTCTAGGATAGGAGCAAG